CACTGCTACCCCCCCCCAAGCACCAAGAATACAGAGCATCCCTTGCCCCAGAATGAGAGTTCCTATCTATACCTCGTGGCTAATAGCCACTGATGGACCTCTGCTCCATATGTTTATCCAGTTCCCTCTTGAAGTCGTCCATGCTTGTAGCCGCCACCACCTCCTGTGGCAGTGAATTCCACGTGTTAATCACTCTTTGGGTGAAGAAGTACTTCCTTTTATCTGTTCTAACCCGACTGCTCAGCAATTTCATTGAGTGCCCACGAGTTCCTTTGTGATTGAGTCGCATTCACTGAAGGTTCCCTTCCATCATTCCCTTCCAAACAGGCGATCGACCAAGATGCAGAAGAACCCAACAACGTAGTTGACTACTCCATTATGCAAGCAGATCCGGCCGACGTCTTTGACATAGACCAGAGCACGGGAGAAATAAAGCTGAAATCCTACATCCGATCCTTGGACATCATCCACAACATCACCAATAACAAAGACTGCATATGGTCAGTGGTCGTACAGGCTAAAGATCGGGGCTCTCCTTCATTTAGTACCACCGCCGTTCTGAAGATTGATATCACAGAAGAGGTAAGAGAGAATCCTGAAAGTTTGATATAGTGAAGGGGGGAAAGAGGTGTGCGGTGGGAGGGCAATTTGTAATCCATTGCAAAATTTCCATTATTGAATATGATAGAGTTAGATCGGAAAGAATGAGGGGGTGTGATTCCTCAGAAGCTAAGGAATGTCTGTCTTCAGTCGTTAGGGTTTCGAACTCCAGATTGCCAAATTCCTGGAGATTTTGGGTGTGGAACCCAGGCAGGGTGGGCTTTGGGGAGGCGGAGGGAGGGACTTCAGTGGGGTATAATGCCATAGAGTCCACCTTCCAAAGTTGTCATTTTCTCCAGAGGGACATCTGATCTCTGTCGCCTGGAGATCAGTTGAAGTCCCAGGTGATCCCCAGCCACCATCTGGAGGCTGCAACCCGATCTGTAATGCCGCAAGGGCAAAGTTATGGAGCACTTACACTAACATAATCAGCATGGGGGTACAATGGATATGCAGTGTATTAACAGCTGAAATGCCATTACATTGTGTCGTTTCCCCCCAGTGTTACGCCAACAGCTTTATTTACAGCTGAAGGCTGACTAAAATGTTAACGCGCGGTCCGGCCAGCTATAACAAGGTCGTGTCTGCCCACAGAGACCCAGTTATGAGGACGAGACAGGTGTTTCTTCCAAAACAAATCTTTTTACTGCAGGATATCAAATTCACATACATACAAAATAATCAGTCTCACATTCACAAGCGCTCAAGTTCCTTTAGTACAGAAAGATATCAAAGATAGGTTATTATTTACTTGGAGGTAGGTAGGTATATTTCAGTTAATACTCGCCTGTTCTAGAAGTCTTGTCTGTTGCAATGAAGAAATAGGGGGACAAGGGAAAGGTTCCTAGGGGTATTTAATAATTCACACTGCTAGAACCAGCCAGCTAGTGTGGGTGTATGTGGATGTCTTTGGCTGTGCACCCCAAAGAGATCCAGTAGAGACAAAGAGTTTTAAAGCAGGGAAGAGGGGGGAGGGGTAGTAGAATGTGGCCAGCCGAAAGACCTGAAGCATGGTCTTTGCGTTGATGGTAGAATGTGGCTGGCCCAACACCTAAAGCATTGTCTTTGTGTTTTATAGTTGAATCTCCAGGTGGGTGGCACCATGCAAAACTGTGATCCCACCTACTTACAAGTCCTTCCCATAAATTCCCTGATTGGTGCATGTAGAAAAGGGGCAGGTATCCTATGGGTGGGACGATATTTGAAACTCTACACTCTATCTCATGGAATGCCATTTGGCCATGTGTGAAGTCTCAGCTTCAGGACATTTCTTTGTTGTGCTGATGAATCTTGGCTTTCCCAGGCTGACAAGATACCATCAACAGGAAACTGCTATACAGATGCAGATCAAGTCCATGTTTGGCGTGACATCTCGTCTCTCCAGCAATGGGGGAATTTCCTCTTCATAGTTGTTGTTCTGCTCACAATGGCTAACATGTGCTCCTTCTTCCCATAATGCCCTGAGCTGAATGTGTGCAAACTATATTAACATAAAATGTAGGCAAGTGTTTCCTATGTGAAATCTCTCTCACACAATAGGTGATGCAAACAGCTTCTTCTAGGCTCATGGTATACAGGTGTGTGCACAGTCCATTTGTTGCATATGTAGCAGATATAAAACCATAAATTAGTTCATTTCTCAACACCAGTGTAGAATATCTAGGTATGGTTTCAGAATGAGTAGATGAAAAATCGTATCTTACCTTGCTCAGAGGCTTAGTAAGGGCAGCAGCCCAGGTGGGGAGCAGTACTACAGCGTCTCAGTGGCTGTGTGCCTGCTGCCTAGCACTGTCAATCGATTTAGCCATGAAATGCTGCAGATTGTGGAGCAGAAAACTTGGTAATTTCCACAGCCCTTCTTATTTCCTTTCTAGAGTTCAACTGTTACGCTCTGCAGGTCTCAGGGTAGCCCTAACTCCTGCTTTATACTTTTGCCTTTTTTATTATTACATAAGGTCTTCCAAAAGCTATTCACTTATTTATTCACTAGAAATAAGGCCCATTGTGGAAATAAATACAACGAGATCTAGAAAGAGGCTCTGGGAGAGTGCTCTGGCTTTGGGCAAACAGTGTCAGTCTGCTTTTAAAACATGAATCTGGGACCTGCACACCACCAGAATACAGCAGATTCCATATGCAACTGACATTCCAACTGCCTTGCGGGGGGAGGGGAGTTTGAGGTGTGGAATGGAGTGAAGTCCAATCAGCTTCCATATGCAAAAGACCAGGTTGTCGCAGCAGTTGTGGTGTGGGCAGGACCCGGGCTTTGCCTTCTGATTGGTGGCGATATATGCTGAGGAGCAGTGCCATCAGCCATACACTAAGGGAGTGCATTTTAGAATTAGAACCTTGGCACCCACTATTCAATTATATATAAGGAGAGATTCCTAGTCTGCCGTTCTCAAGGTGGATTACAACTAACAAGTATAAAACCAGTGTTATACATATAGTCAACATATAAACCATAGCAGCATTCGCTAAGAATGAAGTATAACACGGGCAATAAAGCACGAATTACAAGACTGTAGAACAACACAGTGAAACATTTTATTATATGCAATAAGTAGGGCAATAAAGGTGGATTACAGAATTAAAGAACAATGCAAAGACATCCCCAACATAATATGCAAAGACTATCTTGAAATCTGCAGAACAAATTTAGAGTCCAGTGGGGAACCTTTAAGACCAACAAAGGTTTATTCAAGGTATGAGCTTTCGGGTGCACAGCACACTTTATCAGATACATTAGAATGGCAAGCAAGGTTCAAACTTATAGACGGGCTGAACAGCAAATGTCATGACTCAGGTGGTGTGTCACCTGACGCTGCCACCACTCTGGATTTAGAACATAAGAACATAAGAGACGCCAATGTTGGATCAGGCCAAAGGCCCATCCCGTCCAACACTCTGTATCACACAGTGGCCAGAAATACCAGAGCCATCAGGAGGTCCACCACTGAAGCCACGACATTAGAAGCCCTCCCACTGTTGACCCCCCCCCAACCACCAAGATGACAGAGCATCACTTGCCCCAGAGCCCCTAT